TTATTTTATTTTATTTTATTTTATATTCTGCCTATCTAGTCGTTTAATGCGTTCCTATGGGGGAAAAACTCACTATGCAGAAATCCTCCATCCGGCCATCATTTTCGCTGCCCGGTAAGCCAGGAAACTGCACAAAAATGCTGCGGATGGCCATTTTGTTTACCCGGTGGCCATTTTGGAACCGCCAGTCAGCTGTTAAAAAAACAACGCAATGTGAAGAACGGTAAGCGAAACGTGAAAGGTAGCTTCTGAAGGGGAAGCCCCTGCCACTCAGCTGGGGTTAAATGCCAGCGGTGGCTTCAGAAGGACTGCGGGGAGGGCTTCCCCACGGTCCTTCGTAAGCCACCGCCGGCATTTTTGCCCAGTTGAGCGGCAGGGGCACCCGCTCAGCTGGGTGAAAATGGGGCTATGGGGAGAAATCGCAAAACAGCCATCGCTATGTGGATTCATCGTTAAACAGGGCAACCTGTAAGCGAGGCACCACTGTATATCAAACAATCTCTTATCACTCTAAACATTCTAGTGCAGTTCAATTAAAAACTTTACCTTTTGATTTCTACTTACGACATTTAATATTACAATCCTACAGAGCTATAACAAATTCATGAAAATTTTACATAGATAATTAAACAGTTACTCAATAGTCCAGTCAGGTTTGTTTTAAAAGTTCTTTCATTTTTCTCCATGACTCAGTCCATCAATCTTCAATTTTTCATCACACAAACAGAAAAATTGTGATAACATTATCAGCTTAGTTTATCCCCCCATCATTCATTTGTCTTTCGAGGCAAAGTATCAGTACCTACTATCTGAGTCCCTTTTACACTATGAATTACAAAGTCCAAATCTTTCACACTCCTGCTGTTATCTGCTTGGCACAAAGCCTCTCAGAGTCCAATGCTTGATGTATCTATGACAGGGGTCAGGGAACTTTTTTACCTTTTACCCCCCAAAAAATTTATATATGCCGACATTACACCCTTAATTCGGAAGGAAGGAAGGAAATGATACATTATTTGAATTCAAACTATTATTGAATCTACATAGGCTGTGTACCGAACTAGCAGGATGCACCAAATTTGATAAAGATGTGCACTATTTTTGCTGGAACATATTGCACTCCAGCCATGGTGTGGTATAGGGAGTAATAAGGTCTCCAATGTGCCTAGCTAGTTGCATTAATTTTTTGCTAGCTCAATGACAAGTTAGCTAGACACCGCCCCCGCAAAATTGGGGGGGGGGGGCTTTCCCTCCACTTTAATTATTCTATGTGTGGTTTGCAAAAAGGAACAAACCATGCTAAAGATCATGTCACACACCCTGGTGCCACAGCCCAATATCAAAGGACCAGTGTGCTTTTTTTTTTTTCATCATCAATGGAAAACTCAGCAGCGGCCAGAGGATTGGAAAAGGTCAATCTACATCCCAGTCCCAAAGAAGGGAAATGCCAAAGAATGCTCCAACTACCATACAATTGCACTCATTTCACACGCTAGCAAGGTTATGCTCAAAATCCTACAAGGTAGGCTTCAGCAGTATATGGACCGAGAACTCCTAGAAGTAGAGTACAAGCTGGATTTCAAAGGGGCAGAGGAACTAGAGACCAAATTGCTAACAAGCACTGGAGAAAGCCAGAGAGTTCCAGAAAAACATCTACTTCTGCTTCATTGACTATGCAAAAGCATGGCAGAAAGTGAGGAGGACTTAAAGAACCTCTTAATGAGGATGAAAGGTAAAGGTAAAGATAAAGGTTCCCCTTGACAATTTTTGTCCAGTCGTGTTCGACTCTAGGGGGCGGTGCTCATCCCTGTTTCCAAGCCATAGAGCCAGCGTTTGTCCAAAGACAATCTTCTGTGGTCACATGGCCAGTGCGACTTAGACACGGAACACTGTTACCTTTCCACCAAGGTGGTCCCTATTTATCTACTCGCATTCGCATGCTTTTGAACCACTAGGTAGGCAGGAGCCAGGACAATCGCGGGCACTCACTCCGTCGCATGGATTTGATCTTATGACTGCTGGTCTTCTGACCCTGCAGCACAGGTTTCTGCGGTTTAGCCCGCAGCGCCACCACGTTCCTGTTCTCTGCTTCCCACCATCCAGGCCAGGGTGAAAGGGTGAAAGAGGAGAGTGCAAAAATGGTCTGAAGCTCAACGTCAAAAAAAAAATTAAGATCATGGCCACTGGTCCCATCACCTCCTGGCAAATAGAAGGGGAAAATATGGAGGCAGTGACAGATTTTACTTTCTTGGGCTCCATGATCACTGCAGAGGGTGACAGCAGCCACGAAATTCAAAAATGCCTACTTCTTGGAAGGAAAGCAAATATAAACCTAGACAGCACCTTAAAAAGCAACCTTCCCCCCCCGCATTTATTCAAAGTTTCTCTTTTGCTTGCCTGTTCATTTCCAGTTTTGAGTCAGTCTCTCTCTCTCTCTCTCACACACACACACACACACACACATCCATCCACCCACTCTCCCTCCATTTCCTCCCTCCCTCCATTTCCTCCCTCCATTTCGTACATTTAAATAAGCTTGATGAAGTCCTCAGTCTCTTGCACATTTGTTCCATCTTTCCCTTTCTTGCTCCTTGATCCTCTCCCTCCTCCTGCTTGTTTGCAGTCATTTCCGGAGGAAGCATTCATTCAGAAGCCCCAGCTAATCCACAGCTGTAACGAATCAAGGAAGCTTATCTCCGATCTCTAACAGAACAGAGGATTTACTAGTGCCTGCTGCAATGAAGGAAGTAACAGGGAGATGTGGCTTACAATTTG